GAGGGGTGGTGCAGCCCGGCCCCTCCCTCCACCCGCTCTCCTCCTCCGCTCCCGCCTCCCTCCCCGCTGCCTCACCACGTAGGAGTTCAGATTCTCCACCCGACTCGTCCTGATTTCCCTTTTCCTCTCTTTGGGAAAGGAGAGAGGTGGAGGGAGGCGACGAGGCTGCACGGGAGAGGCCCGCCTGCAAAGTGTTGCTTTGACACATCCTTATTATGGAAGTTAAGTGAAAAAAAAAAAAAAAAAACCAACAAAAAACAAAACAACAAAAAACAAAAAAACAAAAAAAACAACAACAAAAAAAAAAACTCCGGAACGTGTTGCTGCTACAGAGAGGAGACGGGAAACACCAGCGGTAGGCAGGCCAATGGTTTTTCGGCAGCGCGCTGGCAAGTTTGTGGAATACTTTCTAGGAATTAGGTCTTTTTCCTTCCCCTTCATCTTCCTGACTTCTGAAGAAAGAACTTGGCTTTGGATTGCAATGGAGCCTAAGGAGAGAGGCTTAGACACACTTGAATAACCCCTCCGCCTGGGGTGAATTTGTGGGAATTTAGGAAGCCAGAGTGGAAATACTGCAGCCTTTGAAGTACCCTCCGTTAATTTGGATGGATCTAAATGTGTCCTATTCAAGACCTCTCCACCAACCCCTCTGATCTTGCGATTTGCTCTTCTTCACTAATTAGAGTCTAGGAAAGTCTAAACTTTGGAACTACCTCTTTTTTTGATACTTATTTTTGTAGTTTGCTCTCTGGGATTGGTTTCTTAAACAATCTGGATCCTTTTTAACATGTCAAAATGAGTCTGCTGATGTTTACACCACTACTGCTCTGTGGATTTTTATATGTTCGGGTTGATGGTAAGTTTGAAATGCTTTTTTTTTATCCTTTACCCCTCTCCCCGCCAACGTTTATTCCTAAGCCTGATGTGGGTTATAAATAAAATAACATTATGTCTGCTCGCCTGTTTTGGACACGCAGGACCTCTTTAGGGGAAGAGGATTTAAACCTTTTGTTTCTAAACTGCTATAAGTGGAACATGTTAAGAGTTACCTATCGTTAATGCTGTAGTTAATTGAAGACTTGGATAATGAATGACGGGTTCTCAGTTTTGTTGGAAAAAAGAAATATGAAAGTAAATCTCTTGCATGAGTGTGATACTGATTCGCCTGTTCTCCATTTGGTGTTCGTTCTTGGGTCTAAACTTTAGGGGAGAAATTCAAGTGGAGAAGCATAGTAACACACTCCAAGGTAGGTTCAGTAAGTGAGGAATTTGAAACTGGCGATCTCAGGGATCAATGTGTATCACCTGTAAGCCAGGTGAATGCTCTCCTACCGTGAAATCAGAATAAAGAATTTAGATCACAGAGAAAACTGTCAAAGTGAGAGTGGGCGATGCTCCAGCGAGGGGGTAGCATCAGCTCGGAGCTGCCTGCAGGCGTGGAGCCCTCTGCTCAGTTCCCAGTGGGCAAACACAATGGGGACCTGGAACAGGTGCTCTAGGTGTCTCCCTCTAGGGTGAGTCAGTCTGTCAAGCAGACAGCATTCGGCTTCTGCTTCTCCTGCCTTTTGTTCTGATTTGGTTTCCCGGGATATTTTTATAGGATGTCGGTTTCTTATGACACTGTTACAGAATCTTTTTTGTAGCTCTTTTGAATGAAGAGTGGAAATAATCATTAACATATTTTGTTTTCATAAAAGGAAAGACAAAGAATATTTGGTATTAGTCTCTTAGGAATATTAATTTTCATATCAGTGGAAACTATCAGTGTAAAGAGAGAAGACCAGGGCATCGCTACACGTTTCTGTGGATTGTAATACTTATAATTTTCAGTTACTGTATTTGTGAAGAATCTGAGATGGAGTAGGTCGAATGTTTGAGCCATTCTAATAGAACGTCGCTGCACAAACTTTTCTTTAGCATTTGCTAGTGGACACTGCCTATTTTTGCCCATTTGTGGGAGCTAACTTTGTTCGTGGCAGCTGCTGCTGCACAGAACCTGATGTATGAGACTCAAAGAAGCAGCCTTTCTATAAACATGAGGCAATTCGGATGAGTTTACCTACTGTCAAGTGGCTGCTTTCAATCATGGGCTACATGAGTACCTTTGCCCCCCAGCAGTAGTGGGCAAGAAAAGCATGTGTGCACGCTGCTCCTCCCTTACCTTCCTCAGGAGAGTGGTAGATGTTCAGGAACTGAGCGTGGTGAATTATACTGTGGCAATATGTATAATCATTCTCCGTGTGTTTTCTTCTCTAATGCATTTACCCTTACAATACATTTACATTACCATCAGGACAAGATTTTACATATTTATTCCAAATGTGTTCATTTATCACGGTAAGACTTTGGTACAGCTTTTTAAATAGTATGTCCTCATCAACCATGATTTTACATATCTCAGTAATAAATGCATGAATAAACTATACATTAGACTATGGAATTATCAGCAAGATTTTTTTTTGTCCTAAATCAGTGTGTCTCTAGGAGAAATACAATTAAATTGCTCACTGGAAGTGACAGAGGGAATCAGAAGAGCTTGGTGTTACAGAATGTAATTAATGTACCAGGGTGTTTGGAGATATACGAAACAAATGCAATTAACCAGCTTGCTAGAACAGCAGTAGCAAGACATCACTTCTCGCTTTCTTCCCTCCCTCCCTCCTCCTTTTCCTCCTTCATTTCTTTCCCTTGGTTTTGTCATTCAGTCTCTTCCTTTCTCTTTCACACCAATTCCTTCCTACTCTAAAGACACACCTAGAACCTTTGTTCTGATTTAACATTATAGGATAAGGGGACAATTTGTACTTGAGCCATACTTATTGCAGAATTTATAGTAATGTAATGAAAAATGCCCAGTGTTTGAAGACTGAGGAATTTTATAAAGCAATGTAAAAATCTGTGTGTATGAATCTCATTTTTCACATCTGCTAGGTTGAAATTAAAGGAAACTGTGCACACTCTTACTGAATTAGTGTGTAAATCATATGTTGACATTGGATTGCCTTTGGATACTTCAGAATGATGACAGCTTTTCCCTGGGGATTGTTGAAAATTTGGAATGTGGACAACACTGCCCTCTAGGCTGTTTCAACACCTAGGGACCTACTGTTCACTGGTCTAATGAGGGGCTTAGGCTGTGGGGTAGCTGAGCTTTGTTACTGTACCAGGATTTTTTGATATCTACTTACTGATTATCCTTCTTGGGGGTGTGTGCTTATTCTGCACATGAATTTCAGATTTAGAGAAGCTTGTACCATTTCAAAGATATACTGACTATCCTTGTGCTAGACACAGAAATTAATTTTATTCAGTGACAAATGATACATAGATTTGCATTGAAATTTGCTCGGAAGGTTATTTATATGTGCATTTTTATAGTGCCTGAAAAAATGTTAGAGTTTTGCCTCCTTATAGAAGATAGGTGTTAATATTATTTATAATTTTCCCAGATCCTGTCCCAGTAGCAAAACATAGAAAATAAATTTTAAGTTAGTTGAGAACGACAAACTTTTCTATTTCTAATGTAAATAAAGATTTTTTACTTGATCCAGATTAATCACAAGCAGGTTGTTTTCTATGATGATATAGGAGGGTAGGTGTTGGATTTAGCCTTTGCATTCCAGATTTTCTTTGTTTTTCAGTAGCAATAATTTTTCATCATGTATTGGAAAATAATGTGAACCGTCACAGACTTTTTAAAACCATCTTTATCTTAGGCTTCGGTCTAGGTGACAATTTTATAATACCTTTAACAGCTGTTTTCAAAATGATGGTTTTTTCCTTTTTCTCTCTATGCCTAGTCTCAAATGAAAATGACACGCATATTTTGGAGGCTAGAAATAATGTGTGTGCGTAGTATATATCTGTTATCTCATATAGCTTTATACATTTTACCAAAGTGCTTCTTTCAGTTCTGGGCTCATTATTATAGCCATATGCAGCCCACCTTAGAACTTAAATTGCATAGAAGTAACCTGAAATTTGTTCTTGCAGCTATGCAGTAATATCATATTTAAATTTGCTTTGTTTGAATAACCTTTGGTGCTATGCAACATGTGTACAATAAATCAAAAGGTTTTCTTAGAACGTTAAACAAGACTATCTTAAAGAAAAAGTCATGATTCTACACAAAGAATAGCTCTCATCATACCTTTGCTAAACAGAATAGCATCTCTTACAATAAAATTATGGGTGCAGAGCACATTTCATAAATATGTATACATATATAGTGATGAAGGAAGTCTCTGTATGTCTCTGGAATATAGTAATATCCACTTAATTTATATAATCTATAGAGATTTCCCATATTCCATTTGGTTTGTGAAGAATTCTAGAGTAAGAAGATTTTTATCTAACATATCTTTTCCTTTTCCTACTCTGTTTCTACTCCTTCGTGTCCTTCGTTCCTCCATTTCTCCTTTTTGGGCCTGGTAAAAAGAATTAGAGAAATATTTGAAGAAAGAGTGAGATACGTGGTGGTATTTCTTGAAAAATAATTTTAAAAACCTGCGTTTGATGGTGATATGCTAAAGTTTAATCTTCAGGTATAGCCAATTAGGGTTTTGACGTCTTCACTTGCCTTTTATAGTGTGACGTAATCGTATGTTAGCTTGCTTTGTATGGATCCTGTATTTTTCTGAAGCAAAAGTCCCCAAATCTGAGTTCAAGCAGAAAGATTAACCTACATAATATCAGTTTATTGATTTATTTATTAATTATTTTTTGTTTGTTTGTTTTCTTCCAGTACCAGGAATCAAACTCACGACCTTGCACTTGCCAGGCAGGTGTTGTGCTGCTGAGCTAAATCGCCAACCCCTTATTGATTTATTTTAAAAAAACTGTTATGCTTC